TAGTTTATTACACACACACACACACACACACACACACTGTGTGTGTGTGTGTGTTATTTAATTGTAAGTGCCCAGAGCCAGTGTTTGTGATGGATGGTGATATAAATTTGATAAAATCTGCAATCAAGACTGCTGAACTGTTCAGCTTTGGAGATCACCCTTTAGTTTATGTATGCCTGCCAGCTGCTTATATTTTACTTTGGTTTTTTTTAAAGGAGTGTTTCATGTTTAAATTAGGAATGCAGCATTAGAAAATAATATTTAATATGGAGGTAAACATTTGCCGACTTCTTGCATTCACATATTTAGTTCTGATACAACAGGAGATTTATATTACTGTTTAAGCAATCCCTATTCTGGGATTTGTTCATGAAGCTGAGATAGTTTAATTAGAATCAGCTCATCTCTTATGCATTTCATTGGCCACCTTTCCTTTCCACCACTAACCTTGAGGCAACACCCATGCTCCTTCCCTCAGAATATTGATGGGAAGTTGGCTCGCTGAAAGAGAGAATGGCCGAATACCAATCAGGGGATTTAATAGGTGAGAAATCATTCAAACTTGCTTTGCCCTTATAGAGGCTCAGCATACTACATCTATCATTTCCTTACTGGGACATTTCTCATTATGGCCAGATATCCAGCCTCAGAATCCAAAGAAATAATAGGAAGTGGCCACTTGATCATCGAGTCCATCCCACACTCAGTATTGGAACCCAAATTAAAGCACCCTAGAGAATTGTCTGTCTGGCCTCTGATTGAACATGTGCAGTGAAGGGAAACACAGCGCATTGCTAGGTAATTTGTCCCACTCTCAAACTTCTTTTACTGTCAGGAAAGGTCTCTTACCAACCTATGCATTTGCAGAAATTTCAAATTAGCAAATAATGATCTGTAACCTAAAATTGTCATTTTGTTGCTACACTCTGCATTGAGCAAGACTTAGCCTTTTGGGGAGTTTCAGGGCATTTTAAAGATGCTCTTATATCTTTTTAGGCTCTCTCAATCACTCCTTGTAGAACTTACTTTCTAGTTCCCTGATCATCCTTGTTCCCATTACCAAGCTCATTCTGAGACTTAGTACATGTTTCTTCCAGAATGACTCATGTACCACCTAAGGGGTGGGAGGTGGGAAAGGTGTCGCATGGAATAAAGTAGCAATCAGTTACTCTTCTTTCCTTTCTCTTGGAAACTCAGAAACCAGAAGCATCCAAAATTGTCCAAAGGATGGTGCTGTAAATAAAAAAAGTAGCATATGTTTAGAAGCAACCTAGAAACACAATCTGTTTGATCAAACATTTGCTGAGGGTTAGTATATGTGCATGTGGGGATCTACAGATTAGGGGCAGGGGATGAATGATACCAGAAGCAGGGCAAATGTCATAAAAGGTGCATTATACATCATTTCCATTGTGATAGGGTTAATGCAAATTACCCTGCGCTCTAATGTACATATTGGCAGACCATCTCTGGGTTGAGTTTCAGGATGTTGCCTCCGGGGATGTGGACAAGGCTNGGGGGTGGGGGTGGGGGTGGGGCAAAAACGAGCAAAAAAAAAGAGGCATGGACAGCCTTTAGGAGGCTTATAGAGTGTTCCTGGGGGCTGGGGGGGGGAGTGAGCAAAAAACGGCCCTTTTTTGCTCATTTCTACCCTCTCCAGCCCCCAGGGGCTCTCTGAAAGCCTCCTACAGGTCCTGCACAGCCATTTTGGTGAACGGGGTGAGGTTTCGGGAGGCCAAAAATGCTGTATTCAGTGTATAAGACGCACCCAGATTTTCAGCCTCTTTTCTGAGGGAAAAAGGTGCATCTTATACTCTGAAAAATATGGTAAGTCTAAGTGCTATTGCTGTTTTTAGGCCAGGCGTGCTTCACCTTCCTGTTATTAGACTTAGAAAAAGTCTGCCGTGATGAGGAAAAATGGGGATGTTGTTTCCACTTAAGAACTATCACCTGGAGATGTTTTTGTCTCTTTTCTTTTAACCTTCCTAGCTTCAGCGGAAAAGACACATTGGCAACGACATCGTGGCTATTATATTCCAAGAAGAAAACACTCCCTTTGTTCCGGATATGATTGCTTCGAATTTTCTGCACGCCTATATTGTCGTTCAGGCAGACAATCCAGAAACGGATAATACGTCCTATAAAGTAAGTGGGTGAGAAAAGTAGAATGTCTGTGTGTGTCCCCTGGTTTCTGTGTGCGTGTGCCCACATCTGTTTTCCATCTTAACAAATAAGCACTTTGGTGGCTTTGAGAAATGTACCTGTTTGACCAGAGATAAAGAGTTCCTGCTAAGCTTTTGTGAAAATCGTTATTTATTCTGGGAGAAGCAGCTGGTGCCCTCGGCACTGTTGTCTAGCCTATCTGCACATTGGCAGGAAATGTCATTAAATGCCCAGAGGCACGTAGCATACATCTGTCCTTGAAGCCTTAGCAAAATCAAGCTTGACTGAAGGTTGCAGAGCAGGTGGCCAGCAGGCTTTAATGGGCATTATGCCCATTCTGGGATAATTTGCAGATTATCGTGAGTCAGTTGCTTTGCCACCCTGTTGTCCCATATCGGAAGAAAGTGTACCGGAGTTATTTTAACAGATTTTAACAGAGTTAGGAGGGACCTCATAGGTCATCTAGTCCAACCCCCTGCCCAAGCAGAGACGTTACACCATTTCTGACCAATGGCAGTCCAATCTCTTCTTGAAAGCCTCCAGTGATGAAGCTCCCAGAACTTCTGAAGGCAACTTCTGTTCCATGGGTTGATTGCTCTCACTGTCAGAAAAATTCTCCTTTTTTTCCAGGTTGAATCGCTCCTTGTTCAGTTTCCAACCATTATTCCTCGTCTGGTCTTAGGGTGCTTTGGAAAATAGCTTGACCCCTTCCACACTGTGGCAGCTCCTCAGATATTAGAACACTGCTATCATGTCTCCCTTGGTCCTTCTCTTCACTGGACTAGCCATGCCCAGTTCCTTCAAGCATTCATCATATGTTTTATCCTCCAGTCACCTAACAAACAGGCAACCAATTCAGCTCTTACAAGACAGGTGACATTAGAGTCACATGCATGAATCTAAGCTTGCAGAAAACCATGCAAGATGCAGGTTTTCATGGCAGCTTGTGTAGAAATCCCTTCTCCAATTTTTCCCCACAACAGTCCTGTGAAATTGACTGAGAAACTGAATAACAGAGTTGGGAGGGACCTCATAGGTCATCTAGTCCAATCCCCTGCCCAAGCAGGAGACCTATTTCTGACAAATGGCAGTCCAATCTCTTTTTGAAAGCCTCCAGCGATGAAACTCCCACCACTTCAGAAGGCAACTTCTGTTCCATGGGTTGATTGTTCTCACTGTCAGAAAATTCCTCCTTATTTCCACATTGAATCTCTCCTTGTTCAGTTTCCATCCATTATTCCTTGTCTGGCCTTCAGGAGCCTTGGAAAATAGCTTGTCTCTCTTTGGGCATTTTTCTGTCTTCATCACTATACCAAACTTGTTCTTTTATAGATATTACAGAGCTAGAATCTTCAGGCCATTCTTGGTGTGCAGATGGGTTGAGATTCGTATTTGGCTTTTCATGGTAAAGGAAATAAATGTATTTATGCAAGCAGCTAAATTATGCTACAGGGTATTCTTTCTATATCAGTCCTTGGATCTCCCTCCCTCACAATGGACCTAGTCCTAGTGGTAGTCAGAAAGACTGGAACTTGGTCAAAAGGACCAATACTTCATGATCTAGAATATTACACTAGTAACAATTACTAGGAACAATGGATGGAAACTGACCAAGGAGAGATTCAACTTGGAAAAAAGGAGGAATTTTCTGACAGTGAGAAGAATCAACCCATGGAACAGAAGTTGCCTTCG